CCTCGGGGGCCAGGCAAGGAGAAGAGGGGCCCAGAGCCGCCAGGGCGGCCAGCTGAGGGAGGGGGAACCAGCGTGAGCCCGACGGGAAGAGGAAAGCAATCCAAGAGGGAGGCACAAGGCCAGGCCCTGAGCGAGGCCATGGCCCTGGAGGGTGCCGAGCCCCGCTGATCCCTTCCACCACTCTTCCCCGCCCGCCCCCCCCAGCGCCCCCTGCTCAGCCCCAACATCCCTCTGCAGAAAGCCTCCCGCCCCGTGGACCCCTGCAACCCACCAGCATCCCCCGCCTACCTCTCCTAGTGCTGCGCTGGACAGGCTCTGGGGAGGCCAAGCCAAGGCTCCCAGCCAGTGATCAGACAGGCAACACAAAGGGTCTGTCTCCATCTCCACCGCTGCAGAGAGCTGCCAGGCCCTGTCTTGCAAGGAAACAGCAGTTCCAGTCACTCACCCCAAAGAGAGACGCAGCAGCAGCAAGTGCTGGGGCACACCAGGTCTCAGAGCTGCTGGGAGGCACAGCGGTCTCTCTCCCTTGAGCCCCGGCCAGGGTGGGCAGGATTCCTCCCCAGAACACACCGATGCACGGCCACGTGGGACACTGCACCCAGTCTTTGCTCTCTAATCAGACCCAGCAACCGAAGGCCCCTGTTCCCCCGCTCTGTCCCCCTCCCCAGCAGCACGGGAGATGCCCGGGTAACTCCACACAACGCAGGGAACCAGTTCCCACGGCACATGGTGCACTTCAAAACGTGCGAACATGTCCCCAACACTGTGCACGACATGATTTCTTTGCATAGCCCCTCTCCTTCCAGAGGTGCAAAGCACCCGCTGCCCAGTATCATAAAGCGCCAAGTCTCAGTGGGCCCCTGACAACTGGAGGCCTGGGCACATTAACACCCCATTCACTGACTGTCTTGAGCCATCGGCACGGGCAGGTGTAAGGGCAGCCACACTCAGCGAGTGTTTTGAGGCGGCACTAAGGAGACCACCATCCAGCCCAGCGCGGGCACAAGCTGCCCCTTCACCCTGCCGCACGAGCGCTCCCCCTGGAAGGCTCTGGAGGAGCCAAACACCTGGCAGACACTTCCCTCTCAAGTCCTTGGTGGCACTGGAGAGGATGCTGGCTGGGCGGGTCCCACGCGTGCAAGGCCCGTCTCCACAGCCGGATCTGCATGTCCCAGGACCGGCGGCTGTACTTCTTGTACTTGTTTGGGGTCTGAGGGTGGACCCCTGCCTGACGAGTGGACCTACAAATACAGCATCGCATTCGTCATAAGGAAGGGCCAGATCCTCCCGCCTAGCGGGAACAGGACAAGAACAGCCCCGCGGTCCCCTGGGACGTCTGGTGGGGCAGGAAGGGGAACTTGCCCGTCGGCAGGGTCAGCGAGGTGGCGGCGGCGCTGGCGCTCCAGAGCAGGGGCTCCCAGACTGTCTTATTGCGTGCCCCCTCCCAGATCTCCCAGCTGCCCGCGTGCCCCTCCAGCACACGCCCTACATTTTAGCCCCTTTCATGCCTATTATTATTATTATAATGGAAATTCAAGGTGCCATTACCCAGTTTCTCTCACATACCCCTCACATGTCTTGCACACCCCAGGGGTGCAGCTTGGGAGCCCCTGCTCTGGAGCAAGCTCCGACTTCTCCCCTGTGCCGAGGGCCTGTGGCCAGAGCCAGAGCCAGAGCCAGAGCCAGCAGGCCCGTATGGGAAGAGGAGGTGAAAGACAAAGAGCCCTCACTTGGGAACCTGCTGCAGAAAGCGCTGGTAGCCCAGGGTGTTCTTCCCATAATCAATTTGCTTCTGCCTACGCTGCAGGGTGCTCTCATCCGTCTCGATGTCAGATCTGGGGAAAAGGAACCCAGTCAGCACTGGAGACCCGAGACACGAGCCTGGACAAGCCACGTCGCTGGCAGAGACCACCACACCTGCATCCCGAGCCGGCTCCTCGCGCTGGGCTCGGCCGCGTGCCGACCCCGACGCTGACCATGCGAACTCGGAAAGAAGCGGGCTCGGAGGACAAGGGCCTGCTCCGGGGAAGAAGAGCTTGCTCAGCGGGACCCCGCAGCGTCCAGGTGGCTTGTGTCGCCGATGGAGGCGACGCACCGCGTTCCCCGGACAAGTCAACCGCTGGGTGCGGGACGCGGAACCAGAGCCGCGCCGCGCCGCGCCGCCCAGGCACCCGTGGGACGGAGCCCCCGGCTCTGCGGGAGCTCAGGCCCGAAGCACGGAGGCCTGCGAGCGCTGTGCCAGGGGCGCGCGGGGATCCCTCCACGCGCACCGAGGTCCTTTCAGGGGCACCACGCAACAGCACCGCTGCTGGGCCTGCGGACAGGGCTCGGGACAGACCCGGAGCTAGCGTCA